CTATTAAGCCAATCTAAACATAATAGGCACATAGGTGGGATGATAAACGAGCAGACAAATGCTTCATAAATGATAGCGTCCAAGTAAAAAATTAATATGGATTTAAAGTATATAAAAAACTTTTGGGGGAAAGTCAATGAAAATATTTTCTTGCAAGTCTGACTAAATGATTATGTAAGTATAAAACACCAATTTACATCCTAACAGGACCAAAAAAAATCTGAAAAACTTTTCTCCACCCTAAAAGCTCAGCAAAGATGCATTTGTGGAGGGCACAGCAGATAAAATTTGTAATAGAAGAGTTTCTCCCCACTCCTCACCAGCCTTAAATTTGTAAGAACCAGGAGGAATTGGAATTATCAACACTATAGAAGTACATTATTTTCCGGGCTCCTCTCTCCTAAAAGTGCATGCTCTGGCTCATTGTAAAGGGATTCCATTCAGCAGAGCTACACTTGGACATGGAAGTGATGCAGTCAGCATCTTGCTCACACATGTGGGACAAAACTACAATTTCTGCATTTGGTTTTACATGACCATAACTGGTGTGATGAACATGTCTCCACTGACTTGGAAATAAATTTGAAATGCTTTTATTTTCCAACTAGAGGCCCAGTGCACAAGATCTGTACACAGGCAGGGTTCCTAGGCCTGGCTGGCGATCAGGGCCGATTGGGGCCTTCCACTGCTGGCCAGGGCCTTCCTTCAGTCTGTGCCACCCCCTGGTGGTCAGTGAACATCATAGCAAGTGATCAGTCTCCCGGTCAAACTCCTGTGGGGACAATTTGCATATTAGGCTTTTATATAGAGAGAAGATTATTGCCACTAACTCTTTCTTACCTAATCTCCTTCAGGCAAGGTAGCAGGACTATTGGTAAAAACAGTCTCTCATATGACTATGTGTGACACTTTAGTACTTACAAATATTAGTTACAAAGATAAGATCCCAGGAAAAGTTGATGGGAATAATGCTATGGAATTTCATGAAAAAGTAGGTAATTCCTTTCAGTCTACAAATGGTAACTTTAAAGCCCTACAGTTATTTTGTCTACACAACATGCCCTACTTCCCTTCTCATTGCAAACTTCTCTCTTTACCCCTCACTACACAGGCCAAGGGTTAAGACCAAGACTGAGCCTCTAATTGTACCTTGAACTAGATACAGGATGGGCTCCAGAACTAAGCTACACTAGTGAAAATTATTCTCTAGCACTCTTTTCACTGCCTTCACTTAGAGGAGAAGCTGGCCTGAATAACCTGGTGAATATCTATAATAATAAAAGGGTAGTATGCTAATTAAACCAGATGTATTCTCGATGTCCTTCCTGATAAAGCCAGAGCCAGAAGGAAGCCAGCCGGGTCCCAGGTGCCTACTGTTGACCAGAAGAGGGAAGCCTGGGTCCCAGGTGCTAGAGGTAAGCAGGTGCCAGCAGCCAGGAGATGGAAGGCCTACTCTTGCGCGAATTTTTACGCATCAGACCTCTAATTTTCTAAATAATGAACTTAGAATTAAGAGGATCTGTGACTTATAAAAGTGCTATACTCCAATGGACTTTGTCTCACCTATCTAAAACAGACTAAAGACATCTCCCCAGGAGAGGTCAGATGTATTGAAAATAACTTCCCCATATTCTAAACCTTGGTACTTTGGAAATTGGCAATCAGAATAAGCACAGACTATAATGGTAAGAAATTGTCTAGCCACTAAGCAAAACTGGCAAGGGCACTATTTTGCCTCTTTAAGAACAAACCTGAGAGCCCAAAATAGGCAATGATTTTGCTTATGTCTTTTTGGATTAGAAAAAAGCACTCCTTCCCAAAACTGGTTTGGCATCGGTCTGTGGACCGAAAGGTCCTAGGTTCGATTCTGGTCAAGGGCATGTACATTGGTTGCGGGCACATCCCCAGTAGGGGGTGTGCAGGAGGCAGCTGATTGATGTTTCTCTCTCATTGACGTTTCTAGCTCTCTATCTTTCTCCCTTCCTCTCTGTGGAAAATCAATAAAATATATTTTAAAAAAAGAAATTTAAAAAAAGCACTCCTTTTATTTATACGAATTGTGAAAATGCACATCTTTTGGGTGATTCAGTTAGAAAAAAGTGATTTCGCCAAAACCGGTTTGGCTCAGTGGATAGAGCATCAGCCTGCGGACTGAAAGGTCCCGAGTTCGATTCTGGTCAAGGGCATGTACCTTGGTTGCAGGCACATCCCCAGTAGGGGGTGTGCAAGAGGCAGCTGATTGATGATTCTCATCCATGTTTCTAACTATCCCTCTCTCTTCCTCTCTGTAAAAAAATCAATAAAATATTTTTTTTTAAAAAGAAAAAAGTGATTTCATTTTCTCTAGATGGACACACTGAGCCAACCTTGCAAGCACCTGTCCCCTCTATTTGCTTGCAGTTTTCAGATTTGAGTTGTAATTGGAAGCATCTGAAGTTATGCATATTTGTTGATTTATCAGCTATAAAAGTGGAAATTTCAAATGGTTCAACTTAATAAATTCTATGTAAGTGTAATTAGCTAAATCATCCCATTAGTTAGTGAGAGACTTAGAACTAACTAGTCTTTCAGTATTGCATTGCAATTTGGGTGCCATTAATCAAGAACATCTTTAAATTATTAAATCAATTCATAGTGAAAAAAAGTGAGTAAAAATAAAAATTGTTTATAAAAATAGCTCTGAAAAGATATGGCAGGAAGGCAAAGAAGAAATGGTCTAAAAAAGTTAAGATTTTTAGAAAATACCATTATGTATAATAACCCTAGGTGTAGTAAAATGCTATTTGAGAATTTAGAGATTTTAGTTTTCCCGATAAGATTCTAGTGAATTTCCAGTGTTTATTATTTTAGGCCAGGATGGGGTACAGGATTATCTTCTCTGACAGGAGTTTATAGGTTTGATAAGTTGTTGGACATACTAAAAGATATATATTTATTAGTAGCCTATCAACATTTTGTTTCAGTATATCTCTGATATAGACTCTAATAATATCAAGTGCAAAAGCAGAGATGGATTATATAGATTCCAGCTGACATGAAGAGTGTAAAGTTTCCTAACTGTAAATGTCCTTTTATCATCTTACAAACCTTTAGAAAGAGCTAAGGCCATTTTGCTTCCTTGAGAATACAATTGTGTAGCCTCCGGATATATATATTCAATCAATTCCTGAATATAGGAAGCCCAAAACCTGCAACTTCCTTGCAACTTTCACTGGTTTTCCCAAAGTTATAGCATTGTGGAGAAGTTTTCTGAGAACTTACACATCTGTTTTTTCTCTTTAAATAAGTAGATCCTTTTTGTTGGAACGCTCTTAAGCAATCCAAGCATTCCCCTCACGTTCCCCTTTCCACGATGCAATTGAGTTGTTAATCACCATCTGAGGATAATTTTTTCCATCGCTGTTTGAGAGAGACATCGTGAGAGACACATGGAGTGGGGAGACAGAGAGGGAGGGAGGGAGAGAGAGAGGGAGGAGGAAGCGGGGAGGAAGAGAGAAGGGGGTGGGGAGAGAGGCACATCAACTGGTTGTCTCCTTCGTGGGTGGGGAGCGATCCGAAACCCAGGTTTGTGCCCTTGACCAGGCGGGAGCTCACGCTCTAACCACTGAGTCACACGGGCCATTTGGTGCAATTTAAAGAACAGAGTAAGTCACTTAATTTCCTCCTTTTAAGTGGCGGCTGATGATTTGCCGAATGGGTTATAGACCTCGTCTACTGTCCCAAGTATATGGATATATGGCACGTGTGTGTGTGTGTGTGTGTGTGTGTGTGTGTGTGTGTTTTGGGGAGATAGAGACAACATGTTAAGACCCTAAATAAGAATGCTGAATCGGTCAGGAGCTAACCAATTATTCATTAATGATAGCACAACTATTGGAAAATTCTAAAGGAAATGTTCCAGTTTCGTCTGCCACTTGGGAGCGCACCGTCTGGAGCAAGCCACTCTCCCCAGCCGGCCCAGCTCAGCGCGCTCCGCCGTTCACACAGCGGCCTCAGGGCGCCCCGGGCTTCCTAGACGGCTCTGTGAGCGAGCCCCGCAGCGGCCAGAGGGGGGCGCCGTGGACCCGGGAAACGCTGCAAATGCTTCTGGGGCTGTCGCTAGACACTTTTTGCGCCACCCCGTTGTCGCGTGCGCTCCGGGCTCCTGCCTTCTCCCGGGCTTCCTAGGCGGGGGCGCGGCTGGCGGCGGAGAACCTTGGCCCCGCGCCGCCTGGGGCTGAGCTCCGGGCGCAGCGGCGCGGTCAGTGTCGTCCGGGCGGCTGCGGCTCCTCAGCGGCGCCTCCCCCGGGGCGGGGCGGGCCCCGATTCCCGGTGCGGCGACGAGTGGGCGGCCAGCGAGAAGCCCGCGGCCGGCGGCGGGGCGAGCGGCGGGCGCGGAGACTCAGCGGCGGGGCCGGCGCGGGGACCGGGCGGCCGCCGCACTCGGAAGTGGTCGGAGGCCCAGGAGTCGGAAGCCGGAGAGCAGATCAAAGAAGGGATCGGAGCCGAGGAGGGAGGCCGATCTGTCCCGACACGCCGCCCAGCGCGCCCGCCCGCCTGCCCGCCCGTCAGGTGCCGGCCAGGTAGCTCCGCTCCGCGCCCACAGGGCGCTCCTCCCGGCCCCTCCCCGAGCGCCCCGCGCGCGCGGAAGGAGCCGGGGCCCCGGCTGGACACGCCCGGCCGCTCGCACCCGGATCGCGGCGCCCTTGAGCTGAAGCTGCACCGCCGCCGCGCAGGTTCGCGAGCCGACCGGTCCGCCCGCCCCGGAGAGGCAGCGCCGTCCCACCCCGTGTCCTCTACACCCCGCGGCGGGCGGCGCGGCCACGGAGGCGCCGAGGAGGGGCGAGGCGCCGCCGGGCAGCGGCGTCCCTTCGGGGGAAAGGGCGCCCGAGAGGAGGCGTCGGCGCGGCGCGGAAGGCACGGCCCGCGATGGCAGCTGCCTAGCCCGGCGCGCGCGGAGCAGCCCCGAGCTGTGGCTGCCCAGACGGAGCGGGGCCGCGGGGGACGCCCGGCCCGGGAAGATGAGCGCGGAGGCGGGCGAGGGCATCACCTTCTCCGTGCCGCCCTTAGCGCACTCGGGCCTCTGCGCCCTCGCCGAGAGCGGCGGCTGCTGCGGGGGAGCGGCGGCGGCGGCCGAGGGCGAAGGGGACCAGCTGCCCCCGCCGCCCGCGGGCAGCTTCTGGAACGTGGAGAGCGCCGCCGCCGCCCCGGGCCCCGGGTGTCCCGCCGCCGCCGCCGCCGCGGGGAGCAGCGCCGTCCGTTGCCGGGGCAACTCCGGCGGCGGGGGAGGCGGCCGGCGGACCACGGTGGCCTATGTGATCAACGAGGAGAGCCAGGGGCAGCAGGTGGGGTCCGAGGCCGAGGCCCTGCAGAGCCTGCGGGAGGCGTGCGAGACGGTGGGCGCCACGCTGGAGACTCTGCATTTCGGGAAACTGGACTTTGGGGAGACCTCGGTGCTGGACCGCTTTTACAATGCAGGTGCGTATGCAACCCCTTCTTTGCCCATCCTCCACGGTCAGGGGCCGCTGTGGGAGAGAAAAATGCTTTTTTTTTTTTTTTTTTCTGGGCAGCAGGCATGCTTCCTATTTTACTTCTTGCCCCACCTCAGGGGCAGCGAGCGGGTGCTGGTGAGAGTGGGTGCTGGTGAGAGTGGGTGCTGGTGCAGGAGCCTGTATCTGTTCGCGGGACCCACTCACCATGGCCCTGGCTGGAGCCCCGGATCCGCGTGGTCCTCACAGAACTTCTATTCATCAGCCCTGATCAGCCCTTCTCCACTCAGAGTCTTGGTTTCTCTTCTGTTTGGTTTGGCCCGTGTTGTCCTATATATCTACCTGTGACTGTTAGATGACATTATCGATTATTTTTTTCTTCTGTGTAGTTTTGGGAGTACAGAAACCATGTAGCGAAGCCAGCCGCAGGAAAAGAGTGTATCTCTATGAATTTGCATGTCACGATCTCCCGAGTCATTTCTACCTACACAAGTTTAGTGGCTTGAATTTCCCCTCTCGTATCAGTGTGAACTTTCAAGTAACTGCTTCCAAGAGTTAAAAACCTTGTCACTCACACTAAACTTGTGTGGCATCTTTTTAGGATTTCAGCGAAAGAACTAGGGTCTGATTTTATTACCCCGTATACCAGAATGGGCTGGATAGTGTGTAATTTAACATTGTTAAACATGCTGATATGCTTATCTTAATAACTAAGACTAAAGTGGCCATTAAGATGATTGCTAGCATGATCTATGAAAAAATAGGTTTTCAGCCTACCGCAGATTTCAGTGTTATTGCAGTTCTGTTGACTGAAGCAATTAGCTGTGTTAGCAAATATTAGAAATTAGAACGTTACTGAAATTAACTTTAGTGGCCGGTGCAACCAGTGTTGAGAGCAGAAAGTTTTATTTAATGGTGGTTTCAGACAATAAGGTTCTTGGCATTTGTGATCACATAAAACGTGTTATATTCCTATCTTGTTTTCTTCTGATTCTCTTCAATTTCTTCAAAACACCTGAAATAGACTTATGTCAGTTTTGGAATTCATCCAAAGCTGTCTATTTTAAGAACAAGAAGAACTTCATGTTAAGGAAGTCAGACTAAATAAACTAGGATTTTCTGGTTCTGGGCTTGTTTATTTTTTATAATATTGGTCTTCATAAGTGAACATGAGTATAATATAGTGTAGCTTAGTTTTTGGGGTAGCTTGCTATAAAAATTACATAAACATAACTTTTCTAAAAACTACAATACTCTTATTTTGGGACTAGTGGCCCGGTTCATGAATTCATACATGGTGGGTGAGGGCACTGTCCCTCAACCCAACCTGTACCCTCTCCAATCTGGGACTCCTCAGGGCATGTCCGAATGCTGGTTTAGGCCCGATCCCCAAACTGGCAGTTGGATATCCCTCTTGAAATCCGGGACCACTGACCCCTAACTGCTCACCTGCCTGCCTGCCTGATCTCCCCTAACCACTCTGCCTGCTGGCCTGCTCGCCCCCCCAACTGCCCCTCCCCCCTTGCCAGCCTGCTCGCCCCCAACTGCTCCCCCCTGCTGGCCTGCTCACCCCCAATCGTGCCCCCCCCCCCCTCGCCTGCCTCCTTACCTCCAACTGCCCCCCTTGCCTGCCTGCTCACCTCCAACTGCCCCCCACTGCCAGCCTGCTTGCCCCCAACTATCTCCTTTCCTGCTGGCCTGATCACCCCCAACTGCCCTCCCCTCCTGGCCTGATCACCCCTAACTGCCTCTGCCTCGGCCCTGCCACCATGGCTTTGTCTGGAAGGACATCAGGAAGGTCTGGTCTAATTAGCATATTATCCTTTTAGTAATATAGATTATAATATAGATTATATTAATTTATATTCTTTATAAGTTATATTACAAATATATTATATTATTTATATATTAGATTATATAAATTATATAGATTTATTAATATAGATTATAATTTGGAAGAAGCTTCAAAGAATTGAAAGATATGTGAGGGAAACGCTCAGCCAAAATGCTTATTTTTACTGCACTGGTATATATTTTTTATGTGGCTCTATTAAAAAATCTTAAACTGTGAGCCTACCGGTATTTGAAAGTTTCCTAACAAGGTTCACTAACTGTTTATTCTCTGGAAAGAGGAGAAAGATTAGAAGGGACCTGACATTTGAACTGTAACTCATTTAATCCTCCAAACAAGACAATCAAGGAAGTGCCCTCTTACTCTCCTTCTTAGCTGAGAAGACCAAGGGATCGTAACCGGCTCCAAGTTTCAGGTAGAAACTAGTCAATGCCAGATTCCGTGTCCGGTGGCTGACTAAAATGGTGTGCTTTGCCCTCGCTGCCTCCATTTAGCTGCGCTGATTTTACTCGCAGGGTCAAGGGTAGCTCTCTGTCTTGGAATCATGTGGCAGGGAGCTGGCAGGGAGCTTATGAGCCATTTGGGAACAGTGTGGAATAGTGGGGAAGACTCACTAGAAAGACCAGTGTTTGCAGGCCATCTCTGTCCCATTCCACCTGGAAGGTCTCCGCTTACCCTCTGCCTATGTGAGTGAATGAACTTTGAGCCCTCTCATTCAGCATGAAGATGTGACAGAGGTATCAGTTTTGTCCAAACCCTTTGTTTCTCTGAACTGAGGACTGCTGAGTTTGATGGTAGTCCAATTTTTCTTCTGATTTCTAAGAGATCAAATGCTCCTCCTCCACCAGGATTCGGCAGTTTTCTGTGAAGGGCCAGATAGTAAATAGTTTAGACTTCGCAGGAGGTCTCTCTCACTTTTCAGCTGTGCAGTTGTTACACAGGAGCAGCCATACACAATACCTGAACAAATGATCATGGCTGTAGTCCAATGAACTTCATTAATGGACACTGATATTGGAATTTTATATATTTCACAAAACATAACACCCCCCCCTTTTTTTTTTCTCTTTTCTCACCACTCATTAAAAAATATGAAAAGCATTCTTAGATTGTAAGGTGTACAAAAACAGGCCTGGCAGGATTTTGGTCCCTGGGCCACGCTGACCTTTGTTCTACATCCGCCCCCTCCAGTTGAAAGCTGAATCATTATGATACACTGGTAGTACTGCTCCTCAGCTTAGATCTGAGTTTTTATCCTGGCTCTGTTCTGAACCATGTAATTCATCTCCTTCAAAAGGCTTGTAAAATTAACCACGAGGGATTGGCATGGAAGATTGAATTAAATTTCTGATTTCCCTCATTCAATCCTATAAAGTTGCAAAGGCAAGGCAGTGTGGTGTGAGCATTGGAACAAGAGTTTCAAGATCTGGATTGTGGTCCTTGGTTCTTCTCTGATTGGGAGCAAGTCATTTAAAATCTCAAAACGAGCCGAAACCGGTTTGGCTCAGTGGATAGAGCATCAGCCTTCGAACTGAAGGGTCCCAGGTTCAATTCCGGTCAAGGGCATGTACCTTGGTTGCCAGCACATCTCCAGTACGGGGTGTGCAAGAAGCAGCTTGTCGATGTTTCTCTCTAATCGATGCTTATCTCTCATCGATATTTCTAACTCCCTATCTCTCTCCCTTCCTCTCTGTAAAAAATCAATAAAATATATTAAAAAATAAAAATAAAATAAAATAAAATCTCAAAACGAGTGGAGGGTTGGAATAAAAGGTTTCTGAGATTCCCTTCAGCTCTTAATTTCTATACTTTAAAATTATAACATTATTAATATGAAATGAATTGTTTTAGTCTGTGTACTTGTGTATATACCAAAAAAATTTTTAATGAACATTAGTTCTTTGAAGTATAGCTAGAATAGGCTTTATTAATCAGCCATTTTACTTGTAAGAAAAATTAAACAATAAAGTAGTCATATTCACTAATCCAGGTTAAGAAATTTAGGTTGGAACCAGGAGCTCATTTTGCCTTAGAACCAAAATTATTCATGGTGGTTAGACTCCAGGACTATCCTAGAAGAAGCCGTGTTAACTTAGTATCTTGAAGTATGAAACCCATTCACTGTTAAACATTAAGGAAAATTATGTTACTGAAACCTAAAACTGGGACTTTCAATACACCTGTGCTTGAGTTAGAATCAGTAACTTTTGCTTTTATCTATCTTCCGGTAGCATATTGGCCAGCAACCTCACTTTGGATTGGTGGTGATGACAGCAGGAGCTGTGGTGAGGTCTGGAACAAAGGAAGGCTTGGCATAATCTTAGAATAAAGGCTAGCTTTTTGCATATAGTAAATGTATGGAAAAACTTATTGTTCATTATTTTGTCCCTATTTCACCACGGATGAGGGAACACTATCATGCCAATCAACAGAGTAGTGTTTGATCTATAAACTACCTCCAGCTTCTTCCCACCTTTCAGTCACTGTTTCTTCACGGAAGAAACAAGCCTTAGCAAAATTATCAAAAGAGCCAACATAAAAAAAAAGGGGGGGGAGGGAGATTTAAAAAATATATCCCAGTGGTGCTCTGCACATGTTTTTTTCTCTGGCCTTTTGACATTTTTGCTAGCTTGCCATTACCCACCCTCTGTGAACCCAAAGCTCTGTGTTTCCTTTTGCTTTCTTGAAGGCAAAATTATAATTTGCCAACAAGAAGTTTACTAGAAGGTTGGAAAGAAAAGCAAAACTAAGAGGAAAACTTCAAAGGACAAAAGTAAACTTGTTTTTAGGTCATCCATTTTTTACTCTAACTAGTCAACTGCAGATTGTCGTGACTGACCCTACTCTCCAGGCTCTTGGGATTCTGGTTTCTTCACTCAACCCCATCTCCGGTGGCCTGCGTAAGACATTCATCAGTAGGTAGTTCAAGCTGGTTCCACTTGTAGGTGAGGCCTCATTATAAATGCGGCGTGGCCTTGTCTCACCTGTGGCCTTGGCTGGTGCCAGCCTTCTGGGAGTTTTGTGCTGCAGGTCAGTTCCTCTCTTGCGCCGTAGGGACTGTCCCCTGCTTCCTGTTTTGGAGGCCGAGTTAGAGGCCCATGCAGTTCCTGTTTCTGGTCTGCAGGATACAGTTGGTT